GGAGGAGTCAACAGCAGTGAGGATGAGGCTGGACAGTGGGGGAGGAGCCAACAGCATTTTGTAGAGTTAGGATCTGAGAGCCAAAAGGAGGGAGGCACAGCAGCTGGTGGTGAAGACTACGAGGTCAGCTTTGCAGTCTGGAGGGAGCCTGGGGCTGGAGCTGGGCTGAGGACAGCGCTGGTGCTGCCCAGAGCCTGGATGGTAGCACTGGAACCTGGAGAGTTGGGAGACTCAGAGCCTCAAGGGGTAACCACTGAGGTTTTGGAGACTGGTGTCCAGGGTGCCCAGGGCAGAATGACCCCTGCCTAATGCCTTTGGCATTTGAGATAACCACACTGCTGGTGACCTTGGCAGGCAGTTTCTGTGGTGGCACTGCTTGGGTTGGGGAGTGAGTGGGAGGTGAGGACAAGGATAGAAGGGTGTGAACAACCCTTTCAAGAAGCCCAGCTTGCGGGAGGGGGACAGCAGTAGCTTTAGCTAGAAAGGGAGGCCATGGCAACAGAGGCTGGAGAGAGAAGGGGACAGGGGTGTGGCTGGGGTCCAGAGGCAAGGATGAGGCAGATTTCTGGGTTGCAGGAAAAGAGCCTTGAAGAGGTGGATGAGAACTGAGCATCCATCGTCGTGCTTTTGGTGATGACTGTTCCTTGGAGGGGCTGGTGTTTGCAGGGTGGAAGAGGTATGTGGGGCTCCGGGTGATGCTCTGGGTTGACAGACCTGTTTGGCTGGACAAGGCACAGGCTAGAAAGCCTTCCAGCAAGAGGCTGGGCAAGCTTTTCAGGAAGACAGTAGGGAGCTATGGAAGGTTATTGAATGGGGCAGGCCATAACGGAGGAAGCATTGGAGATACTGGATCTAGTTATGTGTCCACGATGGACTCACAGGATCGCTAAGGTAGGAATCTGGAATTGTTGGTAAGTCTATGAGGAAACTGCAGATTGTCTGATGTCACCAAGAGGACCAAGGAGTCCCTCTGTGGGTCCTTAGACCAGGGGCAATGGCCTTAGGCTGGTCCACAGTGTGTGGGCTACCTCATGCTGCAGTGAGCCTATGGCCTGCCTGCTGGGTGCTGTGTGGGATCTTGAAGTGTTGAAGGATGTGCTTGCTGTCTTCCACTCGAGATGCTATTGGATCCTCTTTAATAAATGATGAGGTGAAACTTACTCCCTTTTAGAAGTGGAGGAGCAGAGGGTCAGAGAGGGCAAATCGTTCATTTGTGGCCACACAGCAAGTCAGAAGCACAGCTGGGAGTCACCCTAGGGTAGAGCTCCCTGCCCTGTTTTGGTCTAGCATGTTCCGCTCTGAGAGGTTCTGGGTAGCTCTGGGCCAGGGCTTACTGGGAATGAATCTAAGATTCAGAGACTCCTATGGCCCAGGGTGGGCGCCAGTGGCCAGACCCCCAGTCCAGGAGCTGGCTCCTCAGGGTGCCATACTCAGCTTCCTTGGGAGGACACTCATGCCCTGGGGAGGTCTGGTCTGCCACCGCTAGAGGGCGCAGCTGTTACCCAGGTGAGGGTGAGGGGGCGGCTACTTCTAAGAGCTTCTGGAACCTAAGGAGCTGGAAGCTGCCTCATATGTAGTCTGAGAGGCCTCGGTCGCTTTTCTATCAACCAAGACCTTTGGACCTGTCCCCCCCTAGTGCCCCAGTCACTTGGCTCCAGGTATCAGATCTCCCCGGCCCTGGGGATCTGGAAACCTGGAGTCCAAATCTCCGAGTTCATAATTATTTCTACTTGGCCCAGAGCCCCTTTAGCCTCAGAGCTGAAGTTGTGCCAAATACTGGATTGTCACCTCTGTCACCTCTCATTATTATTTTTGCACAAGTGGGGGTGGGGTGGGTGTTGCTGGAGGGAGTATTGCTCACCAATAGGGCCCAGAGATGGGGAGGAAACACCCTGGGTTCCCAGCCTGCCAGGAAGCCCCCAGGGGGCACAGAGGGCTCTGAAGGAAGTATCCCCGTCTGAGTAACACTGAAGGGGCCAGGGAGAACTTCCTATGCTCGTCCCACCCTAGGACTCCTCCCCCATCCACCTCCTCCGAAAGGAGAGCATCTTCTCCTCCTACATTTCTCTACCAGGTTTCTGCCTGGGTCCTTTCACTTTCCTTCCTCCACTCCAGGCCTACCAGCCTGCCTCCCTCCCCAAGTTTAGCCCCTTGGCTGTGTCCACTGAGGGCCTGGCGAGGGTCCCAGGCACCACACCACAGCAGCCAGCCTCCAGCCCCTGCTCTGGACAGTCCCAGTCTGTCTGGCAGGGCTGGCAGATTAGGGATTGGCTGGAGCTGCCCCCGCCTTTGAGAGGAGGGGAGGCCCGGTGGCTCACCCAAGGTCACCCTTCCTTTTCTTTCCCAGCATCCCTGTTCAACCCTTGTCCCTCTGCCTCACCTTGAAGAGGGAGGAGGCAAGATGCCCTGTAGGTCTAGCACACAGGAGCTCAGCTAAGGGGAAAGACTGTGGGCTCCAGAAATCTGTTGTTTCCTTCAGCAAATGCTGAGTGCCTGCTGTATGCTAGACTCTTAGAACACAGTCGTGAAGACAATGACACATGCTATCAAACACGTTTGTGTCTGTGAACCAAGTGGTAAATCGATGATGTTCTGATCTGGCTGGATGAGGGCAGGCTTTCCTCGGGATCTGAGGGCCCAGGAGCCTTTCAGAGTCTAGGCAAGAGAGGCAAGCTTTAGGCAGAGACCTATATGGGGCCAAGCGAGGCCCGAGATCCCTCATCAGGAAGGGCACAAGGGATAAATGTGCCTGGCTGTGGGCTTGGGCTTGCTGTGAGGCAGTCTGGGCCCTGGCTTGCATCCCTAAGAAGAAGGCAGGGTGCTGTCATGGTCGCCTTCTCTCCCCGTGGGCCAAGAGTAGAAGCTCATCTGTCAAAATGGCGGGAGAGCATTCTCGGGAGACCTGAGCTCTAGCCAGGCTTGCAGGTGGCCTCGGGGAGGTGAGGTTCATGCTGCTTGCTTCTGAGCTTCCTCAGGCTGCATGAGAGGAGGGGCTGGTCCCTGGCTGGCTCTCTCCCTTATCATACCCCATATCCCTGGCCACGTGGCACCTCTGCACCCCGTGCCTGAGGGAAGAAGATTCCTGACCTTAGGACTTGGGGAACTAGAGTGGGTGGGACCTGGGGTACCGCCTGGACTGGGTTCTGTGGCATAGCCACACCCCACAGTCCCAGGGCCGCAGGGAGGGGGAGCTGTCTCTTTAAGAGCCTCCAGGCTGCTAGGAGCAGATGGCCAGACCGGCCGGGGCCCCTTGTCCTTTGTGTGCCTTCTCACAAAAGAGGGGGCCAGCTGGGGAAGGGGCGGCTGTAGCAGGTGGGAGGTGTGGGACCTTGCCTCTCTCTTGCGCCCTTGCAGTTTGAGGATGAAACACATCACTTGAAACCAGCCACTTCTCTGCACCCTGTGGCCCCCACAGTTGTCCCTAAACTCTGATGCCCCTCCTGTGTTGTGTCTCACCTCCTCGGCTGGAAGGCTCACTATATCAGGGCTTTCAGACAGCCCTCTTACCTCAAAACTAAATAATAAAACCTCCCTGCCCCCACCCTGGAGTAGGATCTTCCTTTGGTGTGTGTAGTTGGGGGTAGGGGCTGGCTCCTGGGATAAGTGAGACCGGCATTGGGTCCCAGTGTGTGGGAGACATGTCTGTGAGACCCAGGGGAAGCCCGTGGCTTGGGATCCTGCTAGGCCTTGTGCTAGGGCACCTGGGGTAGCCCTGGAGGAAGGAAACAAGAACGAAGCTTGATGCTTGAGGCCTGGGGTGGATACGAGTTGTAGCTCAGAATCCTAGGTGTATGGAAGGAAGCAAGTGGAGGATGGGGGACCCAATGGAAGCCTTGACTAATGGGTACCAGAAGCAAGAAAGGCGCCATCATGGAAGAGTGTGGTGTGCACAATGGTTGCTAGCTAGGCAAAGGGATAGAAATAGGAGCACCTCACTACAAGGTACAGGTGTTGGGGACAGGTCTGGCTCCCTGCCACTCATTTCTAGGGGCTACTGGAAGTCGCTTTGCCTCATGGAACAAACCCCTTCAGCTCAGATTGCCTCTGGTTCATTTCTTCTTTGTCCCAGATCTCCCCACCCTGGGGCTTGGTGCCTAGCTCATGTTTTAAGAGGAGGAAAAAGGCCCCATAACCCTGGCCCAAGGTGTGGCGGGCAGGCAACGTGGCCGCTGACTGGGTGGCCCTATGTGCCCGGACAGTGCTGAAGTCGGGTGGGGTCGTGTCTGACTCTGCCGGCCGCAGGCAAGGAGCCCCCAGGAACAGGATGCCCCAGCCAGGTCGTGGCCTGACCACAGGACCCGGGCCGGTCGGCCACAGCCAGTGGGTGGGGGCAGGGATCCCCGGTTGGGGCCAGGGCTGCTTCTAAATTTAGGAATCTGATTACAGAGTGGCCAAGGAAGGGAGAGGAGGGTGCGAGTGCAGGCTCGGCTCGATCTGGGCATAGCGGGTGTGCCCGAGTAGAGGCGTGTCCAGGAGTCCGGGCTCCCCGTGGGAGGGACGGCGGGCGGGGGCTTCGGCCTGTGTGAGCTGCTGCACGTGCCCCAGGCGGCGGGGACGGGCACAGGCGCAGCTCACAGGCTTCGAGCTGCTGCCGGTGAGTGCGCTGGCTCTTTGTGTGCCTGGCAGGGTGGCTGGGTCTGGCTTTGAAAGTCTCTGCCCACCCCCTCCCCCAACTCCGTCTGTGCCTCCCAACCCGCTTCCATGTCTGTCACTCTGCCTGTGCCTGTCCGGGGGGGAGGGGGGATGCTGCTTCCAGCTGGGGTGACAGTGAACCCAGTGGGGAACTCGCCCCTTTCAACCCAGAACTTGCCCTATAGCTTTCATGCCCATTCCTCAGTCTTTGATACTACTGTTTTGGGGTGCAGAGTGCAGCTTTTGAAAGACACTAGGGTGACCCCTGGGGACCCACAGACCCAGCAGAAGTCAGGTTCTAGCCCAGTAGGTCTTGGAGAAATTCATCTTGTGCCTGTCCGGCCTCCCATCCGCTTTGGCCCCCAAGGGCGCATGAAGGGGGGGGGTCCTCCTGCAGAAGGGGGGGCAGGGAGTTCCGTGGCAGGAAGGGAAATGGAAGGAAAAGCTGGGCTCCACCCGGGCGGTAGGACAGGCGGCCTCTGGGCCCCCGGGGCAGGCCACAGTAACCAGAGCCCACTAGTGTGTGGAACCGGTGTGCTTGTGGGTGGGGCTGACCCCGGGCTTCTCCTGGGGGGCACTGGGGTCTACCCACAGGGCCAAGTCTGAGAACTCAGAGACATCGGGGTGCTCCCTGGGGGGGTACGTGCGCCCCATTCCGGTCCTGACCCCACCCCCTGGAGGTCTAGCCCCGGCCCCAGGCCCCGCCCCCCGGGCCCTCCCTCCCACCCCAGGGCCAGATGTTCAGCTGGCGGAGGCATCGGCTGGGGGAGGGGTGCTGAGGCCGCAGCCGGCACTACTTCCCTGCCAGCAGCTTCATTGTGTGCGCGAGGAGCGAGCGGCGGCGGAGAGCGGGCGAGCGAGCGGCGGTAGCGCGAGCGCGGCGGGGCGAGCGAGCGAGCGAGCGCGCCGGGGAGGGTGCGAGGCGGCGCCCGCGGCTGCGCTCCTCCCGCCTCCCGGCAACTCTGCTCCAGCGCCGCACGCCGTGCGCGCCGTCCTGCCGCCGGAGCTCCAGCCGGCTGGCGTGGTTGCCGTGGGGTCGGGTCGGGCAGGGTTGCCTCCGTTGGGGACCCGGGCATCCTCTGCACAGCCGAGGGGCGCAGAGTCAGCTGCGGCTGCCACTGCGCGGCATCCCTTGCCGGCCAAACAGCGTGGGCCGGCGAGCGACGCGGCTCCCGGGCTCCCCGAGGGCAGCGCGCCCCGACTCTCCCCGGGGGGGAGAACCAACCCCGAGGGGCGCACGGAGCGAGCGTGCCCCCGGCTGCGCCGTCCTCCCCGTACCCCCCACTTCTTCACAAACTTTTCTGCCGTCCTCGCCTTTGGGGGTCGCAGTGAGCGTTAGGGCTGCCCTCCGGGGCCCCGACCTCCCGGACCCTAGCCACGCTGACCTCCTGCCTCTCGTAGCCTCAGTGGCGACCCCTCCAGGCCGGGCCGGGCGCAGCACTCAAGGCAAGCGCGGCAAGCTCCTGCGCTCTCCAAAGGATCCCGTGCCCCCCGGGGCAGCCGGGTAGGGTAATGCCCTCAGTAATGGAGAAGCCCAGTCCGGGCTCCGGGATCTTGTCCCGAAGTCGGGCCAAGACGGCACCCAACGGCGGACAGCCGCACTCGGAGGATGACAGCAGCGAGGAGGAGCACTCTCATGGTGAGCCGGGTGGCCTAGAGTTAAAGGCGCGCTGGTCTGGGGAGGGGACACGGAAGGTGGGGAGGGGGAGAGTTGCGAACCACAGATGGTTCCTGCCGCTCCTGGATTGCAGCTTCAGCCTTCTCGTGCCTAGTGTTGCCGACACGGGAAATCTACAGCCTGGGCCCTTGACCACCCACCTCCCCTCTGCCCTCAGTCGCTGAGGGAGCTTAGGATGCCTCACTTGGATGGATTGGGTCATCATACCTTGCAACCTTGCAGGGGACTGAGGTCTGATTGGACCAGGGGCTGGAAAGACACCTCCATGCGGAGCTGTGAAGCTCATGTGGGGAGGAGCCCCGAGCTCCCTGCAAGGCTGTGGTCCAGATCTAGGGGCAGCCCTCCAAGCTCCCACCCCCAGCCAGAACAAAGCACTTTGCTCTGGCCTGGGCTTTAAAAGTGTCCTCTTAACCTCCCCTTCCCCCCATAGCCATGACTAGGCAGGGTCTGTTTCTCCTAGTCCCCTCTGCCTCGGAGGGTAGCTGGGACTATCAAGGAAAAGTGAGTCTCCTGGATGGTAGGGTCCCTGAGTGGTCAGGAAGGAGAACTCCAGATCAGCTACCTCTCCTCACTATATCCTCCCCCGACTTCCCTGGAGTCTTGACTGCCTCCCCTGGCTCCACAGACAGCATGATCCGAGTTGGAACCAATTACCAAGCAGTAATTCCGGAGTGCAAGCCTGGTGAGTGGCAGGACAGACATGGAGGGAGGGAGGGAGGGAGGGAGGGAGGGAGGGAAGGAGAGAAGGAGGGAGAGAGGGAAGGAGGGAGGGGTGGAGGCTGATGGCTTGGCCTGCAGCCCCACCTGGGAACTCTTGGCTGGCTCTTGCTTGAGGGACAGGCGGTGGGCGGGGTGGGTGGCCCCGTGGCACTGTTACTTTTCCTGCTCTGCCTTCCTGTCTGGGTCTCAGCTCCTCCTTCCCTTCTGGGCCTCACCTCCCAGCTTGATTGTGTTGCTCAGTGGTCTCCTGTTTCTGTGAGTGCTACCAGGCTAATTCTGCTCTTCCTTTCAGAGAGCCCTGCACGCTATAGCAACAAGGAGCTGAAGGGGATGCTGGTGTGGTCACCCAACCACTGTGTATCAGATGCCAAACGTGAGTGGGGTGGGCCCAGGTCAGGGTCAGGCTCAGTCTCGGTGGCAAGGTTTTAACTCCTGTCCTCCTAAGGCCAACTCTTCCTTAGAAGTGTGCTGTTAGTCCCACTTACATGGAAGTCTGGTTTCATTGCCATAGCCTAGGAGCTAGAGACCAACCTGGGCAGTATAGAGAAGCGGGCTGCAGGCTGACGAGTGGTCTTTACTGTGGGGCTTCCCTGTGACCCTCCTCTTTCCCCCTGCAGTTGACAAGTACATTGCAATGGCCAAGGAGAAGCATGGCTACAACATTGAGCAGGTGGGCTGGGGTGCTGAGGGATGGGAGTGGGACCCACCTGGCGGGCAGGCGGGCGGGCGGTGCAGTACTGCTGTGGCAAAACCTGAGCTGCGTCTGTCCTGGGCCAGGCACTTGGTATGCTTCTGTGGCATAAACATGACGTGGAGAAATCCCTGGCTGATCTAGCCAACTTCACTCCTTTCCCTGATGAGTGGACGGTCGAGGACAAGGTGCTGTTTGAACAGGCCTTTGGATTCCATGGCAAGTGCTTCCAGCGGATCCAGCAGATGGTAAGCCTGCGCTCTGTGGCCCTTTGAGGCACAAGCAGCTTCCCTGGGGCCAGAGACTCAGGTGGACTCCTGTTTTTGGCCTTGCCTCCCCAGCTACCTGACAAGCTGATTCCCAGCCTGGTGAAGTATTACTACTCTTGGAAGAAGACCCGAAGTCGAACTAGTGTGATGGACAGGCAGGCCAGGCGACTGGGTGGCCGCAAGGACAAAGAAGACAGGTGGGGCTGGGGGTCGCTAGTAGGGGACAGGGGGCTGACAGTGTCCTGGGTTGGGCCTTCCCTCATTTTCTGCTTGGCTCTGTGTCAGCAGTGATGAGCTAGAAGAGGGACGGGGAGCTGTGAGTGAGGGAGAACCGGATCCTGGAGACCCCAAGCGAGAGGTGAGGTCCCTAGCTGCTCTGCCCTGCCCACCTCTGCCATAGTATGTATGTGGGGGTCAGAGAATAACTTGGAGGAGTTAGTTCTGTCTGTGTTGTGGATCCTGGGGATCAAACTTACCAGGCTTTGTGGCCGAAGCCTTTCTCTGCTGAGACTTTTCATGTGTGTGAGTGTTTGTCTATCTCTGTAAGTGCACCACATGTCTTTTCATGTGTGTGAGTGTTTGTCTATTTCTGTAAGTGCACCACATGTATACTTGTGTGTGAGTGTCTGTCTACATCTCTGTAAGTGCACCACATGTATACTTGTGTGTGAGTGTTTGTCTATCTCTGTAAGTGCACCACATGTACACTTGCTTGTCCGTGGACTCCACTTGATATTATTTCCCTCCAGCCTCTGCCATCCAGACCTCTGAATGCACGGCCTGGTCCTGGGAAGAAGGAGGTCCAGGTATCTCAGTACCGCCACCACCCACTTCGAACTCGGAGACGTCCGCCCAAGGGGATGTACCTGAGTCCTGAAGGCCTTACTGCAGTATCAGGAAGCCCAGACCTTGCTAACCTCACACTCCGAGGTCTCGACTCACAACTCATCTCTCTTAAGCGCCAGGTGGGGGCCCAAGGAAAGGGAGCCATGAAGAGGGGTCATCAGTTCCTGGGCTGGGGCGGCTTGGGTATGAGAGTAGTGGTACAGAGCCGAGCCTGGCTCTGTCCACTGTCAGGGACTTAGGATAACTTGACATCCTTCTCTGCTTTGTGTGTGTGTGGGGAGGGTGTGGGGGTCACACATGCCACAGAGCTCATGTGGTTCTCTACCTTTACATGAGTTCTGGGGATTAAATTCAAGTCTTCAGGCTTTTTGGCAAGCACTATTATTTGCCTGTGGCCAGCTCCCTGACCTTTTCTTGCAGTGGGAACAGGGATTCATATATCCTAGGCTAGCTAGACTCAAATTTGTGCTGTAATAGAGGATAACCTTGAGTTCCTGACTTTTACTTCTACTCTCCAAGTGCTGGTATTCTGGGGACCGTGCATACTAGACAAACACTGCCAGCTACTCTTTAGCTCTTTAGAGGCATTAAACATAGGTGGCTATCCTTGGCCTTGGCTACATAGTGAACTCCCCTACCCCACCCCCCAGACAGGATTTCTCTGCGTAGCCCTGGTTGTCCTGGAACTCACTCTGTAGACCAGGCTGGCCTCGAACTCAGAAATCTGCCTGCCTCTGCCTCCCAAGTGCTGGGATTAAAGGCGTGCGCCACCACTGCCTGGCTTACATAGTGAACTTGAGGCTATCTGTGGATACATTGCTATCTGGGAATACATTTTCTCATTTTATTATTGCATGCTATGGTGTGGAGGTCAGATGATTTGTGGGAGTTGGTTTTCTCTTTCTACTAGGTAGGTGCTGGGCATCAAAGTCAGGTCAGAATTGGTAGCAAGAAAGGGTGTGCCAGATATGTGTATGTATACATGTATGTATGCATGCATGCATATATGATACATGTATCAGCATGTGTGCCATGGTGCCCACGTGGTTCTTTCTGTCTACCTTTATGTAAGTTGTTCTGAGGATCAAACTCAAGTCTTTGGACTTTGTGGGAAGCACTTTTACCTGCTCACCTGTCTTGTCCCTCTGCCTTCTGCAAGCCCCTATCTGGTCTCAAATATAAAGCTGGGCACTGTGCAAGCACTTATAATCCCAGTACTTGGGAGGCAGAGGCAGAATTAAGAGTTCAAGGTCAGTCTCCGTTCTATAGCAAGTTTGAGGCCAGTGGGTCCTCAAAAAAACAAAACAACAAAAAAACCCCAAAAAACTAAGGTGGTGAGGGAGGAGTGAGTGGGCAGGGGGTGGTAGAATGGGTGAGTTGGGTGGCGTTGGCCTTCATGGGATGCAGAGGTGCATGCCCTTCTCTCCTTTTTGACCTTTGTAGGTTCAGAGCATGAAGCAGACCAATAGTAGCCTCCGCCAAGCACTGGAGGGCGGCATTGACCCTCTCCGCCCCCCTGAGGTAAGGCTGTTCTGTTCACTTGGGTACAAAAGGGGCTTTTCCCTAGAGACAAGACAGGAATGGGGAGGAGAATGGCCTAGGAAGCATACTTTTTTTTTTCCAAAACATCCTTTCACATTTATTAACTTGGGTGCAGTGGGGTCAGCTTGGGTGAGGTGCCAACAGGAGCCATAGTATGTATGTGGGGGTCAGAGAATAACTTGGAGGAGTTAGTTCTGTGTTGTGGATCCTGGGGATCAAACTTACCAGGCTTTGTGGCAGAAGCCTTTCTCTGCTGAGACACTTTGCATGTGTGTGAGTGTCTGTCTACATCTCTGTAAGTGCACCACATGTATACTTGCTGCCCACGGAGGCCAGAAGAGGGCACTAGAGACCCTAGGTTTTAGATGGTTGTGAAGCTGTTGGTTTGGGTAACCACAGTGCTCTTACCTGCTGGGCCATCTCTCTATCTGGTCCCTCCCTTTGCATATTTTTAGTTTAATGGTTATATTCCTTGCTTTCCAGGCCAATACCAAGTTCAACTCTCGCTGGACCACGGATGAGCAGCTTCTGGCTGTACAAGGTGGGTCAGGCCATGGCGAGTGCCAGGAACCCTAGAGACCTTTTCCCTTTCTAGGAGCTGAAGGTGGAGGGGAAGCAAATGGTTCTGAGGGGCATTTACAGTCTGCTGCTCCTTTTGACCTTTGCAGCTATTCGTAGATACGGCAAAGACTTTGGGGCTATTGCAGAGGTGATTGGGAACAAGACTCTGACCCAAGTGAAGACCTTCTTTGTGAGCTACCGTCGCCGCTTCAACCTGGAAGAGGTGCTGCAGGAATGGGAGGCTGAGCAGGATGGGGCCCCCGCAGCTCCAGTCCCCATGGAAGAGGCCAGGCGAGGGGCTCCTGTACCAGCCACAGCCCTAGAAGAAGATGATGAGGTGAGGCAGGGGGTTAGTCTCCAGGGAGGAGAGGTGAGTCTAAGGATGTTGAGTGTGCGCAGGAGCAGTCTCCTCACCCTTTTCTCTCCCCTCAGGTCCAGATTACATCTGTCTCAACATCAGTACCCCGATCAGTACCGCCTGCACCGCCCCCACCTCCACCGCCCACCTCGCTTTCCCAGCCACCTCCACTGCTAAGGCCACCTCTGCCCACAGCCCCCACATTGCTCCGCCAGCCACCTCCCCTGCAGCAGGGCCGCTTCCTGCAGCCCCGGCTGGCCCCCAACCAGCCCCCACCACCTCTCATCCGCCCTGCCCTGGCTGCCTCTCGCCACAGTGCCCGCCCTGGTCCTCAGCCTCCACCTACCCTGGTTGGAGCCCCCTTGGAGCCCCCTTCACCCTCACTTTGAGCTGAGTCCTCCACTGCCCAGAGGCTCCTGAACCTCTTGGCTGGATATCTCTGGCAGCACTAAGGACGGAAGGGACTAGGGCTCTTGCCAGGTCTTTCAAATACCCAGAGCTGCCAGTTGGCACAGCTTGGACCTGTGGGTTCTGCATGTGTTCCTGGCAGCTGAGCTTGTAAACCCCCAGCCAGGGGCTTGATCTCAGGGCCTGCAGGGACTCTTGCTTCCTGGCTGTGACTGGAATGGCTCCCTCCTTGCCTGCCTGCCTGCCTAGGGCTTGGCCTCTGGGCCTACCCTTTGTGTGGGGGTAGTGACTTTAGCCTGGGGGATGGGGGAAGAGGACAGTTGGTGTGTTAGCTGGCCTCATTCATCTTTCCTTCCTTTAAGCAATAAGTCAGGTGCAGTGGAAGGGGATTGGGGTGGGGATGGCAGAAGCCTGGTGGGAAGAATGCTGGGAAGCTGTGAAGAGGCCCACTTTGTCCACCCCCAAAAGCTTGGAGAAAAAAGGGTTGGGGACTTAAACAGACATGGGTTTATTTTTCAACATTTTTTAAAAAGAAATAAATGCAACCTTAAATGTATCAGTCTTTTATGTGTGCTGTGGGTGGGAGGCAACTGGCCACCAGCATTGGCCTTCACCAGGACCTAGACAGTAACCAATTCTCATCTGCCAGGCAGGAAGGCAGGCAGGCTAGGCCACATCTTGCCCAGGAGTGGGGGATGGGGGGTGGGGATGGGTCCCCGCCCAGCGGGGAGAAGGAACAGGAGGCAGCAGCTCAGATTCCAAACATTCTCTTTATTACATGTTTGATCCAGAGGAGAAACTAAGTGCAGGGTGGGGGAAGAGGGGGCTAGGCAGGGAGGGGCCACCTTGCCTGGGTGTCCTGGCCCCCACCCCTTATCTTGAGAGCCAAGCCATGCCCTCCTGGCCCCCTTGGAGCACCCGGGCTGTTCCATAGGGCAAGAGGGAAGAGGAGGAGCCCTTGGTCTGAGCCATAGCCAGTGGAGCACGGGGCCGGAGGGTTGAGGTTGGCAAGGTTTAATTCCTGGAACCCAAGACTCAACATGTTGCTGAGCCTGGCCTGGGAGCCAGGGTGATGGACAGGGGAGGAAGTGACAGGACAACAATTGGGGTCAAGAGTGGAGTCATCATGAATAAAAAAAAAAAAAAAAAAAAAAAACCAACCCAATAATAATAAAAAATAACCCATCACAAAAAAAAAAAAAAAAAAATGTACAACTCAGGTGAGAGCAGGGGCAGCCTCTGTAGGACTCCCCCCAATTTCTCAAGGACTGAAACAGCAGAGAAATAAATTAAGGGATGCAGTGGCCACCACCAGCCAAGCGCCTACAGTCACCCATTCACACACTGGCCTCGGAGGTTAGCAAGCAGGAGTTACTTTGCCCCACCCTGTGGAGGACAAGAGGCTCCTGGCCCTGCCGCCCAATCCAGCCTTCCGCCAGGCAGCCATGGAGGCCCTGGACAGTCTCCTGAGAGGAGGGGCGGCAATGCCAGGAAGAAAAGGCAAGGCTGAGAGATGAGAACGGTGCCCAGATTAATGCCAAGGAAGGGGAAGCAGTAGGGGGATGGTGAGGGGCTGTGCTTTCAGACAAAGACGCCCAGAACGGAGAAGCTTGTGTCCTTGTTCCCAAGCGGCCCCCTGGGGGCTGAGAGCCCATGGGCCCATTCCCTCCCCTCTACCAGTACTGGGGTCAGCCCCGCCTTCCACCTGGAGAGGTGGAGAAGATGGCACAGACTTCTGAGAAGGGGAACAAACATCCCCACAGCAGCTCATGGAAAGAAATGCCCAGCTCTGGGGAAGGAAGGCAGAGGATATGGTATGGAGGGAGGGAGCCAGAATCCCGCCGCCCACCCTCTCCAGGGCTGTGCAGTACCCCACTGGGCCCCAGTGTAAAGGCCTGTAGCCCAAGGGCCTGGGGGCAGGGGAAGGCCACCTCTGGTGGGTCGCTTGGGGAGAGGGGAGAAGCCCAAAGTGGGCCTGGCGGAGGGCCTGCCAGGGGACTCCACCACTCTTGCCTGAGAGTGTTCCAGCCCTGAGCCACCCTCCCAGGAACCCCACAGATCCAGTCTTGACTGTCCCAATGGGGCAGGGAGGAAAGGTGGCCGCTGGGATTTTTTTTCTTTTTTTTTTTTTTTTTGGTAATAAAAATTTTCTTGGTTTAGGCGAAATACTCTGTGCAACCGCAGTACCGAGGGGGAGCCCTGCCCCCCCAGCCCCCTCCCCTTCTTTTGCCTCCTGTAGGGGGGAGAGGGGAAGAGAGGGACTTCTGGGCGGGGTGAATGTGGGAGGGGGAAGAACCATTTCCCATCCCCCACAAACATGAAAGAAAAAACTGAGAAGGGCCTGGAAGGGGACAAGTGCCAGCAGGGGAGACACACCAATTCGTCCTGCAGTTTCTCCCAGGGGATGCAGGTTTGGCCCAAGCAGCCAAGTCCACTGGTGGGCCTCTGCTGCCCCTCCTGACAGCCTGTTAAAGCTTCAGCTCATTGGCTATTTTGGAGGCAATGTTTTTGAAGGCCATGGAAGTGCCCGATATCCGCTTAAACCGAACACCGTTGAGAGACAGCCGGGGCAGTTTGCACACCTCCATCTCCCACTGGACAAAGTTCTCGTGGCCTGGTGTGCCATGCACGCAGAGCAGCATGTACCGCTCGTGCAGCTCGCTTTGGCAGCTGTTGGCGTCCAGCACCTTGCGGATCTCCCGCATCATCTCATTGGGCTCCATAGAGCTCGTGGTCTTCATGCTCCACGTGAAGCGCAGGGAACGAGGCTTGGCCTCCCGGAAGTCTTCCTTCTCCTTGTCAGTGCCTCCACCGCCCACCACGTGAGGTCTGTGGAGGGTCGAGGGAGGTGTGAGATGGGGGCTGAGACATCCCACCCACAGGGGAACCACCCTGGCAGCCAGACCCTGAGGCCAGAGAGAAAAGCAGGAAAGAGTGCAGCAGCAGCTCGAAGAGGGAGCAGTTAGTCCCTTGTCCTCAAGTGGCACTTGGGACATGGGAGGCCTCTGGCTCTTGTCTCTCAGGATGGAGGGGTGACAGTTCCATGCTGTTACTGGTTCTTTTCTTTAGGGGATCAGGCAGGAAACAAGTGCTGCTCACGGAGCAGTGTCCTCTATGAGGAGGAGGAAGAGGCTGAGCAGCAAGGCTAGCAGGGGGAACCTGGAGTGCCCCCTACCTGCCAGGGCTCTGGTTCCATAATGTACCAGGGCCCAAGCAGGGTCCAGAACTACTGCAGGTAGATGTGGGAAAGGGAGCCCCCAAGGAGGAGGCAGGGCAGAATTGCCAGAGAAAGCCAATGACAAGAGGAAGACAGGAGCAGGAGGCTGTGGCAAGCCCGGTGGCCTGGGCAGGACCAGTAGTGCTGGCTCCGGCCCTCTCACCTGAGCGTCTCCACTCGGTCTTTGCTTTCAGGTTCATTCAGGTTCCTCAAAAAACAGAGCGAGGGAGAGTTTAGTCTGGGATCTCTCGCTCCTTCCACCCTGTAGACCCAGGTGAGGTTGGGTCTGGGGACATGCCACCAGTGGGTGAGCAGGACCCAAGCCCAAATGCACTTGCCAGTCACCTGCAGGCCAAGGCTGCAGTGCCTCACACTGGCAGCCTGACTGCCCCTTTCTGACAAGGAATCCCACCAGGGGGCTGACCCTCCCCACATTCCCAGAGACCTGTGCAGGAGGAAGGAGCCCAGCTCTGGGGGAGGAGGGTGTGGCTGTGCAGGCACATGTCCCCAGCACATGGCCCAACCAGTAGCTCCCCTTCCAGCTCCCATCCATGCTCAAGCCTGCTATTGGAGTGAGGCTGGGAACAGATCTCCGTGCCGGTGACTGGGGTGTGAGAATGTGAAGATGGAGGTAAAGGCCGTACTGTCTGTCTCAGAAGATGGAAAGCCTCTTAAGAGCTTACTGTGTCAAAACTGTGTTGTCAGGCAGACACCTGGGCCTGCTGCCTGTGGCCCAGTGGCAAGGCCACTGTGCTACTGACTCCCCTACTGCTGGTTGCCAGGCTGACTGCTCACACAAAGCAAGGGCTGGGCAGGGCTCTAGGGAGGTGAGAAAGAGGTCTGGCCCTGCTGAGCGGCTTCTCCAGCTCCTGCCAGGAAGATGAGTGCCCAGAGCTGGAATACTGGGGGCTGCAGGGGAGAGGAGGGACGAGAAGAAGGAGAGAGCAGCAGCAGCACATGTAAAAGGAGCAGGAAGACACAAGACACAATGCCAATGAGCACACTGTGAGTAGAGCCCCGGTGTGGACAGGAAGGGCTCAGGGCTCCGGCTGCTCTCTCCAGGCCCCTGTGGGGCAGCTCCCTGCCAGCCATGCAGCGAGCTGGGGTGGGGTAGGTAGGCAAGGATATCTCAGGATCACATCTGGCCCATTTCTCCCTCAGCTGGGGAGCCAATGCACCTGCCAGGCAAATCCAGAGTTCCCAATCTGGCCCTCAGTCTGCAGCTTAGTACCTGGCGTACCTAGGCCTGCAGAGGACATGGCCAGGCTGAACAAGCCAGGCTCTGTCCCAGGAAGGGAGATGCAGGAGCAGGGTGTGGGCCTCCTGCTGTTCCACCAGGGCCTGGCGGCAGAATGACCCCTGCCTGAGAATATCCAGCTCTTGGCTCTTTGGCAGGCTCAGGCGACATCTGGAGGAAACAGCCCAGAGGAGAGCAGCGTGAGCGCCCAGACGCTATGCCAGGGTGAGCTGGGTCAGTTCTGCAGCATCCACCAGAAGGGGGTGCTATACTACATCTATGAGGCAAAGGTTTTGGGGGCCTGGAAGAGTCAAGACTAGCCAAGGGACCCTAAGGTCCCTGTAGTACCTCCAAAGACCTGACATGGGAGACAGGTCACAACAGCCCTGAGGTTCAGCAAGCCCAGGACACCCCAAATGAGATACCATTCCAGATGCGCCTCAACCCCATGGAGCTTACTTGTAGCGCATGCACACAACAAGGGAAAGGCCAGAAAGGGAGCCCAGTATGACCCACACCTGGGTGGGTACAAGGAGACAATCTTAAAGGGAGAGTCCCTGAGGTCTCTTCTCTTCTGAGGACAAGCACCTACAGACCAAGGGAGGCCCCTCACTTTCAAAGCCATTTGCTCTGAGGGACCTAAAATGTCCTCTCAGGGGAACATGTATTCTCAATTCTGCCAGTGTGAAGAGGGCAGGGGTAGAGAGATCAGCTTAGGGCTGCGGCCCCATCAGAGAAGTCATCATCCCTTTAAGATAGTAGACATAGGTCCACATATACAAGGTCAGCAGAAAGACAGGAAGCATCAGCCAATGGGGGAGTTAGTGATGGAAGCAGAACACCAGACAGACAGACAGACAGACAGACAGACACACAGAGCGGGCTCAACGCCTACCTTCTGGCAAACCTGAAAGACAGATTTCTAAAAAAAACAAACAAAAAAGACAAAATAAAAAAGGAAATAAAACAAAAAACCAACAAACAAAAAAAACCAACAAACAAAAAACCCAACCCCAATCAAAGAAACAAACAGAAAACAAAAAAAACCAACAAGACGGTATGTGGACAGCAGGTGGGAGTGGGCTTTCCAGGTTCTAGGGTC